CTAACCAATGTATTTATTTAGTGTTACTTTCATTTGGTATAGTATACCTTACTTAGGAAACAATTTTACATTATTGGTTAGTGAAAGTAACACTAAATAAATGGTATAGTATATCTTACTTAGGAAACAAACTATCCAATAATGTTAATGAAAGTAACAATAAATAAATGTTATAGTATACCTTACTTAGGAAACAATCTAACCAATAATGTAAATGAAACTAACAATAAATAAATGGTATAGTATACCTTACTTAGGAAACAATCTAACCAATAATGTAAATGAAAGTAACAATAAATAAATGGTATAGTATACCTTACTTGGGAAACAAACTAACCAATAATGTTAATGAAACTAACAAGAAATATATGGTATAGTATACCTTACTTAGGAAACAATCTAACCAATAATGTTAATGAAAGTAACAATTTCTAACCATATTGTTTAAAATCAGATATGAAGTAAATTGTCATACATGTTCTGTTTATCTATTTTCTTATACACTGTAAAGCATCTAAAACCCTAAACATTGTTATCTACTTAAAGTAGTACCAGTCTTTAATTTGTCAAATGCAGTGTTATAAAACTAATTATAAAATAAAGCAAGAAACAAAAGCTTCAAATAATAGTTAAGAAAAATTTAAACCAGATATAGCTTCGAATTGAACAGCAAACTCTTATATGAGTAACCATGATGCATTCTGAATCCAGTGAAGCCAAAAAAAACATTTAAGAGGCCATTTGTACATTTTACAGTTGAAACAGGTTTTAGCTTGTCATGCTGGTGTTTTATTATCCGGTATCTTCCAGACCAGGACAGAACTGAATAAGAGAAAATTACAGTTGCAAAAGCATTTCCCTTCTGATATTGTGCAGGAAAAATTTTGACACCTTGTTAATTTTCAAAAATACAATATTTCTACATCATCTACAACAATAACAATTTTAAACAAAAATATTGAAAAAAAAATGTAACTTTAGGAAGTAGAAAATATTTACAAATAGAGCAAACACAACATGAATCACAGTGCAGGTGGCAAGAAAGAACATAAACAAAGCTACAGCAGTGCCAATACATCAGTTAATTAGAGTCAAAAACTTTAAAGAAGCTTCAAGAGCATTCAGAGATATTCTGGATAGAATTCTAATGAATGCTGGTTTCTACATTGAGTGTAAATTTTAGTAAAGTATTTGTAGTTTATGTTATACCAATTAGAATAGGATAAAGTAGTAGCTAATAACCCATATTTTAATAAGTTTTAATTTCCTAACCCTACAAGGCAATATTTACAAAAACCCTCAATTTCCCCTAGTGTGACACAAGTGACATATTTTCTCTAGGTATTTTATCTTCTCTATTTTATCCACCACCCCTTCAAAAAGTACAAAATTAAATGTTAAATTACTCTCAAATGAACCATAATTTTTATAGTCTTGAAATTTGTTTAGTTACAGAGCTATTGATTAGAAAATCAGACCCCTCCTGCCACACCCATTTGTTACATTTAATTATACGTTATGTATAACCAATAGAAAGTCAACGTTTTCATCTATCAAATGACATATCATATAACGTTGTGTTTTGAACAGATAAATAGTAAATTTCACTTGGAGAGTTTGGGGAAGTTGTCTAATTTTTGCATGTTATTAGTCTTTGTTCTTTGGTGCATTATTTAATTAAATAAAAATTATTTAGTGCGTTACTAAAGCTTACGTATCCTTGACTGGTTAAGTATTTTATTTCATATTTTTCATGTTTATTCTTTATTTATTATTATAAAAGTAACAAATATGTAAAAATAGGGATCTCTTTAGGTTAATTAAAAGTAGATTAGGTAAAAGAAATAATAATATAAAGTTTTCACGAGGCACGCATGTGAGCATCAACGTAGGTAATATAATATGATAGTGTAACGTGAGCTGCACATACCCCAAGTGATTTACAACTTATAATGTCATGGATAGTAGTTAGACGAGGTTCAACGGGCAATAAAACAATAGAATATAATTATATATAGGCGTATACTGTTATAAGCCTAAAGCTACTTAGGATAAACGAATGCAGTTTCATATTACAAAATGAAGTCTTTTTTAGAAAAATAAAAAGGGTAATTTAGATTTTTTGCTGGTCACGAGGTCGGACAAATTGAGTGATCCTGTTTTGAGATAGGGTAAAGAAAACAACAGATGAAATATAAAGTTTTACTGGAAATAAACATTTGAAATGTATTTAGGAGGTTTTAAGGAATACACAAAGGAAATTTGAGATTTTTG